TCCCTATTCCGTATCGCCACTCTATTCCCTATTCCGTATCGCCACTCTATTCCCTATTCCGTATCGCCACTCTATTCCCTATTCCGTATCGCCACTCTATTCCCTATTCCGTATCGCCACTCTATTCCCTATTCCGTATCGCCACTCTATTCCCTATTCCGTATCGCCACTCTATTCCCTATTCCGTATCGCCACTCTATTCCTTATTCCGTATCACCATTCTATTCCCTATTCCGTCGCCTCACCTATTCCGTATCGCCACTCTATTCCCTATTCCGTATCGCCACTCTATTCCCTATTCCGTATCGCCACTCTATTCCCTATTCCGTATCGCCACTCTATTCCCTATTCCGTATCGCCACTCTATTCCCTATTCCGTATCGCCACTCTATTCCCTATTCCGTATCGCCACTCTATTCCCTATTCCGTATCGCCACTCTATTCCCTATTCCGTATCGCCACTCTATTCCCTATTCCGTATCGCCACTCTATTCCCTATTCCGTATCGCCACTCTATTCCCTATTCCGTATCGCCACTCTATTCCCTATTCCGTATCGCCACTCTATTCCCTATTCCGTATCGCCACTCTATTCCCTATTCCGTATCGCCACTCTATTCCCTATTCCGTATCGCCACTCTATTCCCTATTCCGTATCGCCACTCCATTCCCTATTCCGTATCGCCACTCTATTCCCTATTCCGTATCGCCACTCTATTCCCTATTCCGTATCGCCACTCTATTCCCTATTCCGTATCGCCCCTCTATTCCCTATTCCGTATCGCCACTCTATTCCCTATTCCGTATCGCCACTCTATTCCCTATTCCGTATCGCCACTCTATTCCCTATTCCGTATCGCCACTCTATTCCCTATTCCGTATCGCCACTCTATTCCCTATTCCGTATCGCCACTCTATTCCCTATTCCGTATCGCCACTCTATTCCCTATTCCGTATCGCCACTCCATTCCCTATTCCGTATCGCCACTCTATTCCCTATTCCGTATCGCCACTCTATTCCCTATTCCGTATCGCCACTCTATTCCCTATTCCGTATCGCCCCTCTATTCCCTATTCCGTATCGCCACTCTATTCCCTATTCCGTATCGCCACTCTATTCCCTACTCCGTATCGCCACTCTATTCCCTATTCCGTATCGCCACTCTATTCCCTATTCCGTATCGCCACTCTATTCCCTATTCCGTATCGCCACTCTATTCCCTATTCCGTATCGCCACTCTATTCCCTATTCCGTATCGCCACTCTATTCCCTATTCCGTATCGCCACTCTATTCCCTATTCCGTATCGCCACTCTATTCCCTATTCCGTATCGCCACTCTATTCCCTATTCCGTATCGCCACTCTATTCCCTATTCCGTATCGCCATTCTATTCCCTATTCCGTATCGCCACTCTATTCCCTATTCCGTATCGCCACTCTATTCCCTATTCCGTATCGCCACTCTATTCCCTATTCCGGTATCGCCACTCTATTCCCTATTCCGTATCGCCACTCTATTCCCTATTCCGTATCGCCACTCTATTCCCTATTCCGTATCGCCACTCTATTCCCTATTCCGTATCGCCACTCTATTCCCTATTCCGTATCGCCACTCTATTCCCTATTCCGTATCGCCACTCTATTCCCTATTCCGTATCGCCACTCCATTCCCTATTCCGTATCGCCACTCTATTCCCTATTCCGTATCGCCACTCTGTTCCCTATTCCGTATCGCCACTCTATTCCCTATTCCGTATCGCCCCTCTATTCCCTATTCCGTATCGCCACTCTATTCCCTATTCCGTATCGCCACTCTATTCCCTATTCCGTATCGCCACTCTATTCCCTATTCCGTATCGCCACTCTATTCCCTATTCCGTATCGCCACTCTATTCCCTATTCCGTATCGCCACTCTATTCCCTATTCCGTATCGCCACTCTATTCCCTATTCCGTATCGCCACTCTATTCCCTATTCCGTATCGCCACTCTATTCCCTATTCCGTATCGCCACTCTATTCCCTATTCCGTATCGCCACTCTATTCCCTATTCCGTATCGCCACTCTATTCCCTATTCCGTATCGCCACTCTATTCCCTATTCCGTATCGCCACTCTATTCCCTATTCCGTATCGCCACTCTATTCCCTATTCCGTATCGCCACTCTATTCCCTATTCCGTATCGCCACTCTATTCCCTATTCCGTATCGCCACTCTATTCCCTATTCCGTATCGCCACTCTATTCCCTATTCCGTATCGCCACTCTATTCCCTAGTCCGTATCGCCACTCTATTCCCTATTCCGTATCGCCACTCTATTCCCTATTCCGTATCGCCACTCTATTCCCTATTCCGTATCGCCACTCTATTCCCTATTCCGTATCGCCACTCTATTCCCTATTCCGTATCGCCACTCTATTCCCTATTCCGTATCGCCACTCTATTCCCTATTCCGTATCGCCACTCTATTCCCTATTCCGTATCGCCACTCTATTCCCTATTCCGTATCGCCACTCTTTTCCCTATTCCGTATCGCCACTCTATTCCCTATTCCGTATCGCCACTCTATTCCCTATTCCGTATCGCCATTCTATTCCCTATTCCGTATCGCCACTCTATTCCCTATTCCGTATCGCCACTCTATTCCCTATTCCGTATCGCCACTCTATTCCCTATTCGTATCGCCACTCTATTCCCTATTCCGTATCGCCACTCTATTCCCTATTCCGTATCGCCACTCTATTCCCTATTCCGTATCGCCACTCTATTCCCTATTCCGTATCGCCACTCTATTCCCTATTCCGTATCGCCACTCTATTCCCTATTCCGTATCGCCACTCTATTCCCTATTCCGTATCGCCACTCTATTCCCTATTCCGTATCGCCACTCTATTCCCTATTCCGTATCGCCACTCTATTCCCTATTCCGCATCGCCATTCTATTCCCTATTCCGTATCGCCACTCTATTCCCTATTCCGTATCGCCACTCTATTCCCTATTCCGTATCGCCACTCTATTCCCTATTCGGTATCGCCACTCTATTCCCTATTCCGTATCGCCACTCTATTCCCTATTCCGTATCGCCACTCTATTCCCTATTCCGTATCGCCACTCTATTCCCTATTCCGTATCGCCACTCTATTCCCTATTCCGTATCGCCACTCTATTCCCTATTCCGTATCGCCACTCCATTCCCTATTTCGTATCGCCACTCTATTCCCTATTCCGTATCGCCACTCTATTCCCTATTCCGTATCGCCACTCTATTCCCTATTCCGTATCGCCCCTCTATTCCCTATTCCGTATCGCCACTCTATTCCCTATTCCGTATCGCCACTCTATTCCCTACTCCGTATCGCCACTCTATTCCCTATTCCGTATCGCCACTCTATTCCCTATTCCGTATCGCCACTCTATTCCCTATTCCGTATCGCCACTCTATTCCCTATTCCGTATCGCCACTCTATTCCCTATTCCGTATCGCCACTCTATTCCCTAGTCCGTATCGCCACTCTATTCCCTATTCCGTATCGCCACTCTATTCCCTATTCCGTATCGCCACTCTATTCCCTATTCCGTATCGCCACTCTATTCCCTATTCCGTATCGCCATTCTATTCCCGATTCCGTATCGCCACTCTATTCCCTATTCCGTATCGCCACTCTATTCCCTATTCCGTATCGCCACTCTATTCCCTATTCGGTATCGCCACTCTATTCCCTATTCCGTATCGCCACTCTATTCCCTATTCCGTATCGCCACTCTATTCCCTATTCCGTATCGCCACTCTATTCCCTATTCCGTATCGCCACTCTATTCCCTATTCCGTATCGCCACTCTATTCCCTATTCCGTATCGCCACTCTATTCCCTATTCCGTATCGCCACTCCATTCCCTATTCCGTATCGCCACTCTATTCCCTATTCCGTATCGCCACTCTGTTCCCTATTCCGTATCGCCACTCTATTCCCTATTCCGTATCGCCCCTCTATTCCCTATTCCGTATCGCCACTCTATTCCCTATTCCGTATCGCCACTCTATTCCCTATTCCGTATCGCCACTCTATTCCCTATTCCGTATCGCCACTCTATTCCCTATTCCGTATCGCCACTCTATTCCCTATTCCGTATCGCCACTCTATTCCCTATTCGGTATCGCCACTCTATTCCCTATTCCGTATCGCCACTCTATTCCCTATTCCGTATCGCCACTCTATTCCCTATTCCGTATCGCCACTCTATTCCCTATTCCGTATCGCCACTCTATTCCCTATTCCGTATCGCCACTCTATTCCCTATTCCGTATCGCCACTCTATTCCCTATTCCGTATCGCCACTCTATTCCCTATTCCGTATCGCCACTCTATTCCCTATTCCGTATCGCCACTCTATTCCCTATTCCGTATCGCCACTCTATTCCCTATTCCGTATCGCCACTCTATTCCCTATTCCGTATCGCCACTCTATTCCCTATTCCGTATCGCCACTCTATTCCCTATTCCGTATCGCCACTCTATTCCCTATTCCGTATCGCCACTCTATTCCCTATTCCGTATCGCCACTCTATTCCCTATTCCGTATCGCCACTCTATTCCCTATTCCGTATCGCCACTCTATTCCCTATTCCGTATCGCCACTCTATTCCCTATTCCGTATCGCCACTCTATTCCCTATTCCGTATCGCCACTCTATTCCCTATTCCGTATCGCCACTCTATTCCCTATTCCGTATCGCCACTCTATTCCCTATTCCGTATCGCCACTCTTTTCCCTATTCCGTATCGCCACTCTATTCCCTATTCCGTATCGCCACTCTATTCCCTATTCCGTATCGCCACTCTATTCCCTATTCCGTATCGCCACTCTATTCCCTATTCCGTATCGCCACTCTATTCCCTATTCCGTATCGCCACTCTATTCCCTATTCTGTATCGCCACTCTATTCCCTATTCCGCATCGCCACTCTATTCCCTATTCCGCATCGCCTCCTCCCGTCCTCAGGACGTGACGTGCGACAATGACTTTGAGCGGTTGCTACTGGGGGAGGTGATACCTGCGGAGGAGCTGGGCGTGCGCTTTGAGCACATCGGCGCGCTGGAAGGCGTCAAGGAGGCGCTTAGGGAGGTGGTCATGCTGCCGCTGCAGCGGCCGGAGCTGTTTCAAACGGGGCAGCTGACCAAGGTATCCCTCCAGGACAGTGCTATTCAAGCATGCGCCCTGGCCTTTACTCCCTCCAATCTCCCCGCCTTCCTCTCTCCTTCCCTCCCAACCTCCCCATTCCTCCAAACCCCCTCACTCGCCTCTCTTGCATTTCCTCCCCCTTTCCCCCCACCACCCCCCTCTCCTCCCGCGTCTCCCCCCCCCGCCCTCCTGTCCCCTGCAGCCGGTACGTGGGCTGCTGCTGTTTGGGCCGCCGGGCACGGGCAAGACGATGCTGGGCAAGGCGGTGGCCACGGAGTCGGGCGCCAACTTCATCAGCCTCTCCATGGCGTCCGTGGCGTCCAAGGTACTGTGCCTGTCTCCTGTGTCTGTGCCTGTCACCTGTGTCTGTGCCTCTGAGCTGTGTCTGTGCCTCTGAGCTGGGTCTGTGCCTCTGAGCTGTGTCTGTGCCTCTGAGCTGGGTCCGTGCCTCTGAGCTGGGTCTGTGCCTCTGAGCTGTGTCTGTGCCTCTGAGCTGGGTCTGTGCCTCTGAGCTGTGTCGGCGCTTGCCTCCGCGTGTCCTCTCCCTCTGGCGTCGGAGGTGCATGGTCTCATGCCCAGCAGTGCAAGAGATGGGGGCACGACAATGGTGGGCAACGCAGTGACCTCTGAGTCTTGTGGCGGCGGAGGTCCGCACACTCTTTGGTCTCCAGCGTGCTACCCTCGCCTGCCTTGTCTCCATTACGCCACTTTGCTGAGCCCTCCCCTTTCCTTCCCCCCTGCCCCCCGTCCACTCCCTCCAGTGGTTCGGTGAGGCGGAGAAGTACGTGAAGGCGGTGTTCACGCTGGCCAGTAAAATCGCGCCATGTGTCATTTTCGTGGATGAGGTGAGTGGGTGATTCTACCCTTACGAAGGGGGGGGAGGCTTCGGAAGTCGGGGGCGTCTTCGGAAGTCGCGGGCGTCTTCCGAAGGGGGGGGCGTCTTCAGAAGTTGGGTGTGTCTTCGGAAGTCGGGGGCGTCTTCGGAAGTCGGGGGCGTCTTCGGAAGTCGGGGGCGTCTTCGGAAGTCGGGGGCGTCTTTGGAAGACGGGGCGTCTTTGGAAGTCGGGGGGGTCTTCGGAAGACGGGGGTGTCTTCGGAAGTCGGGGGCATCTTCGGAAGTCGGGGGCGTCGGAAGTCGGGGAGTCTTCGAAATTCAGGGGCGTCTTCAGAAGTCGGGGGCGACTTCGGAAGTCGGGGGCGTCTTCCGAATACGGGGCCGTCTTCCGAAGACGGGGGCGTCTTCCAAAGACGGGGGCGTCTTTGCAAGTCGGGGGCGGCTTCGGAATTCGGGGGCGTTCGGAGAAGCCGGGGGCGTCTTCCGAGGTCGGGGGCGTCTTCCGAAGTCGGGGGGGTCTTCGGAAGACGGGGGCGTCTTTGGAAGTCGGGCCCGTCTTCGGAAGTCGGGGGCGTCTTCGGAAGTCGGGGGCGTCTACCGTGACAGGGGCGTCTTCAAAAGTCGGGGGCATATTCGGAAGACGGGGGCGTCTTCAGAAGTCGGGGGCGTCTTCGGAAGTCAGGGGCGTCTTCCGAAGACGCGGATGTCTTCTGAAGTTGGGGGTGTTTTCCGAAGAGGGGGGCGTCTTCGGAAGATGGGGGCGGCTTCGAAAGTCTGGGACGTCTTTGGAAGGGGGGGGGGGCTTCGGAAGTCGGGGGCGTCTTCGGAAGTCGGGGGCGTTTTCGGGAGACGGGGGCGTCTTTGGAAGATGGGGCGTCTTTAGAAGTCGGGGCATCTTCGGAAGTCGGGGGCGGCTTAGGAAGTCAGGGGCGTTCGGAGAAGCCGGGGGCATGTTCCGAGGTCGGGGGCGTCTTCCGAAGTCGGGAGGTCTTTGGAAGACGGGGGAGTCTTCGGAAGACGGGGGAGTCTTCGGAAGATGGGGGAGTCTTCCGAAGACGGGGGTGTCTTCCGAAGACGGGGCCATCTTCCGAAGACGGGGGCGTCTTCAGAAGTCGGTGGCGTCTTCGGAAGTCGGGGGCGCCTTCGGAAGACAGGGGCGTCTTTGGAAGTCGTGGGCGTCTTCGGAAGTCGGGGGCGTCTTCTGAAGTCGGGGGCGTCTTCGGAAGTCGGGTGTCTTCGGAAGATGGGGCCGTCTTTGGAAGTCTGGGGTCTTTGGAAGACGGGGGCGTCTTCGAAAGTTGGGGACGTCTCCTTGCTTGCTTGCTGGCCCTATGTGCACCTCCCTTGCGTGCCCCTGACCAGGTGGATAGCATGTTGGGGCGGCGCGGCGGGGACTCGGAGCACAGCGCAATGCGCAAGCTGAAGAACGAGTTCATGGCGGCGTGGGACGGGCTGCGCTCCAAGCAGGCGGACCGCATCCTTGTGCTGGGCGCCACCAACCGGCCGCACGACCTGGATGACGCCGTCGTCAGGCGCTTCCCCAGAAGGTGCGCGCGCTGACTGCCAGGATGGCAGAGTTAGAACATCGCACTCTTTATCTTACATAGTTTTGTATACTTGGGTAACTATAACCAATTTGGGTTAGCAGGTTGATGAAGGTTGGGGTTGGCTATTCAACCAACCCTTGTAACTATAACCAAGTTGGGTTAGCAGGTTGATGAAGGTTGGGGTTGGCTATTCAACCAACCCTTAGGTGAGTGGTTTTATTGTGGTTTCTCACCACCGCGAGTGGCGAGGGTGTCCAGTGGGTTCCCACCGTGAGTGGGTGTCCAGTGGGTTCCCACCGTGAGTGGGTGTCCAGTGGGTTCCCACCGTGAGTGGGTGTCCAGTGGTTTCCCATCCCCCTGAGTGGTTACCCAGTAGCTTGCCTTTTAAAAAGGAATGAATGAACAGAGGGAGTGATACAGGGTTATGTACCTATTGGGCCAATCCCAGGTCAAGGGGGTTTGACCAACCCAACCATTATTGGTTGGACCAATGATGGTTGGGGGAAGGTTTGACCACCAATGAAAGGGAAGGCAATAATGTTGGGGTTGAACAACAACTATCTTGCCTGGCGTCCAGCTAACTTGCCTGGCGTGCAGCTAAATTGCGTGGCGTCCAGATATCTTGCCTGGCATCCAGCCAACTTGCCTGGCATCGAGCCAACCTGCCTCGCGTCCAGCCAACTTGCCTGCCGTCCAGCTAACTTGCCTGGCGCCCAGCTAACTTGCCTGGCGTCTAGCTAACTTGCCTGGCGTCCAGTCATCTTGCCTGGCGTCCAGCCAACTTGCTTGGCGTCCAGCCAACTTGCTTGACGTCCAGCCAACTTCCCTGCCGTCCAGCAAACTTGCGTGGAGTCCAGCTAACGTGCCTGGCGTCTAGCTAACTTGCCTGGCGTCCAGCTCACTTGCGTGGCATCCAGCTGACTTGCCTGGCGTCCAGCTGTCTTGCCTGGCGTGCAGCTATCTTGCCTGGCATCCAAACCACTGGGAGACCAGTCAGGCTGGTGGCCAACCATTTAAAACCACTCAGGGTGCTGGGAAACCACTGCAAAACCACCCAGGGTGGTGGGAAACCACCGGAAAACCACTCAGGGTGGTGGGAAACCAGTCGGAAACCACTCAGGGTGGTGGCAAACCCCTGGAAGACCACTCAGGGCGGTGACAATCTCCTTAAACTCCTCTGATCTGATCCTCTCCTCTCTCCTCTCTCCTCTCTCGTGTGCGCCGCTTGTCTGCTCACAGGCTGTTCGTGGACCTGCCAGACCGCCCCAACCGCGGCAAGATACTGGACGTCATTCTCAAGGGGGAGCAGCTGGAGGCGGGGTTCTCGTTGGACGAGCTGGCGGCTACCACCGATGGGTACTCGGGCAGCGACCTAAAGGTGGGGCGCTTGTAGGGCGACCTCAAGGTGATCGTAGCGACCTCAAGGTGATCGTAGCGACCTCAAGCTGATCGTAGCGACCTCAAGGTGAGGCGCTTCTAGGCCACACGGCTGCAATGCCTTCAACGGGATTTGATTCGGCATGGGCCTCGCTGACTCTCGTTGTGGCCAGCAGCTGTCCTTTCTGGCGATCATGAGCAACGGCAGCTTTGCCTCCCTACGGACAAATCATGGCCCTCTTCACCCCCGCCGCTCCCCTCTCGTTGGTGCGTTGTTTGTGCGAGCAGAACCTGTGTGTGACGGCGGCGTTCCTCAGAATAAAGGAGTTCCTGGAGAAGGAGAAGAAGGTGAGCGGCGGCGCGGGTGACACCAGAGAGCAGAGCCGTTGCTTTTGTGCTGCTGGCAATGGCCAACGCCCGTCTCTGCATGCTGTATCACAGCCTTTGCACCATGCCATGTGCTCGTTTGCACCATGCCATGTGCTCGTTTGCACCATGCCATGTGCTCGTTTGCACCATGCCATGTGCTCGTTTGCACCATGCCATGTGTTCGTTTGCACCATGCCATGTGCTCGTTTGCACCATGCCATGTGCTCGTTTGCACCATGCCATGTGCTCGTTTGCACCATGCCATGTGCTCGTTTGCACCATGCCATGTGCTCGTTTGCACCATGCCATGTGCTCGTTTGCACCATGCCATGTGCTCGTTTGCACCATGCCATGTGCTCGTTTGTCCTTGTGCTGTGCAAGGAGGGCCTCTTGCTTCCCACCACCTGTGGTTTGCCGTTTATCTGGTATTTGCAGGAGAAAGAAGAGGCAGAGAGCAGCAAGGAGGGTGCAGAGAGCAGCAGGGGTGAGGGCACCTCAGCTACGAGCGGCAGCAGGGAGGGCGAGGCTGGGGCTGCTGCTGACAGCTCCCTTAACGCCCTTGATGTCTCATCCACTGGTGCCACGCCCTGCCTGCGCCCAATCAGCATGGAGGACATGCGCAAAGCCATGGAGAAGGTATGGCATGCTGCCGTGCCGCTGGTATTTCCATGCTGCTGTGGCATGATTCCTTGTGGCACATCTCCATAGTCACACACACGCACGCACGCACACACACACACACGCACGCACACACACACACATCCTGAAATGTTTTCCTTCTTCCACCCATGTGCCATCACTTTCCCATCACCTCCAATCCCATGTCACACCCCCATCAACTCCCCATCACCCCCCCATAACTCACTGCACGTGGCAGGTGCGGGCGAGTGTGAGCAGCGATGCGGCGGCGATGATGGAGCTGATGCAGTGGAATGAGCAGTTCGGGGAGGGCGCCACGCGCAAGATCACCCCGCTCTCCTACTTCATGTGACCGCATCACACCGCTCTCCTACTTCATGTGACCGCATCACACCAATCTCCTACTTCATGTGACCACATCACACCGCTCTCCTACTTCATGTGACCACATCACACCGCTCTCCTACTTCATGTGACCACATCACACCGCTCTCCTACTTCATGTGACCGCTGCCACCTTGCATGGGTGCACTGCTATGCACTCGGGTTCACATGGCATGGGCAGAGGAAGCAGTCTGTGTGCAGTCACGTCACGTGTCTTGCCCCCCAGAGCTGGCTCTTGCAGTGATTGTCACCCGTAGATTTTTGTGCTGTGCTGCTGTCTAACAACTCTGACACCACCCTGGATCTCATGTAACACCACTACCTGCCTGCTCTGTAGCCCGGTGTCCAGTTAAAGCAACGCAGCGTGGCCTGATTGTCAAACATATGTGTGTATGTTTAGTAGACTACATAGGGTCATGCCATAGAGAGTACAACCCATAAGCTATATACCTCTATATGCTCCCATTCTAGTCAACAATTCTAACTTTGATATGGTATCACGAGTAGGTTAGGTCCCCCCCCCCCCACCCGCGCTTCCGCCTTAGGTCCTAGCCGCCCCGTTGGCCCCACTGCCCCGTCGCCTAGCTGGCCCATTGGCCCCGTCTCCTAGCACATGCTGGCCCCGCGCCCGCGGCCCCGTTCCCTAGCGCCTAGCCGCCCCGCTAGCCCCGCGGCCCCGTCACCTAGCGCCTAGCCGCCCGTGGCCCCGCGGCCCTGTCACTTAGCGCCTAGCCGCCCCGCTGGCCCTGCGGCCCCGTCACCAAGCGCCTAGCCGCCCGTGGCCCCGCGGCCCCGTCACCTAGTGCCTCGCCGCCCGTGGCCCCGTCGTCTCGTCACCTGGCGCATAACAGCCCCGTGGCCCTGTCGCCTCGTCGCCTTGCGCCTAGCCGTCCTGCTGGCCCCGCGGCCTCGTCGCCCCTAGCATAGCCGCCCCATCGGCCAGTCGCCTAGCCGCCCCGTCGCCTAGCCGCCCCGTCGCCTAGCTGCCCCATCGCCTAGCCGCTCCGCGGCCCCGTCGCCCAGCTGCCCCGCGGCCCCGTCGCCTAGCCGCCTCGTCGGCCAGTCGCCTAGCCGCCCCGTCGCCTTGTCGCCCAGCAGCCCCGCAGCCTCGTCGCCCCGCTGCTCCGCGGCCCCGTCGCCTAGCCTCCCTGCGGCCCCGTCACCGAGCTGCTCAGCCGCCCCCTCCTCCACCCTTGGCCGTGTTTCCCGGTCCCCGCTCGCTAAACCGGCCCTCTCCACCGTCCTGCACTGCGCCCCACCGTGCTGCACCGCTCGGCACCGCGCCCCACCGCACTGCACCTCGCCCCACCGCACTGCACCGCTCCGCACCGCACTGCACTGCGCCCCACCGCACTGCACCGCTCTGCACCGCATGGCACTTCACTGCACCGCGTTCCACCGCACTGCACCGTACAGTATTGCTCTCCACTGCTCCTCGTCGCTCTGTCTCGCCCTTCACCGCCTGTTCCGGCTGCAGCGGCCATAATGACGGACTCGGTGCTGCGCTTTGACACGGAGGGTCAGCCGGTTGAGTTCGACACGTGGCTCGTCGACCTCCGCCGTCACCTCACTGGTCAGCGGCAGGACGGCCACTCCCTGGCCGTCCACATTGACGGTACGCTCCCCTGCCCTGACCCCCCTGCTGCTCTCCCTGCTGACCCCACGTCTGCTGACCGTGAGTCCGCCGCCACTGCTGCCCTTGCCCGTGCTGTCTGGCTGTCGCGTGATGCTGTCGCTCAGCTCATGATTAGCCATGCCCCCCCCCTGTCTGAGCGCCCCCGCTTTAAGTCGGTCAGGACTGCGCAAGAGTTCCTAGAGGCTGTTGTCGAGCGTTATTCCACCCCGTCCTCTGCCTCTGCCGGCCGCCTTATCCTTCCATGCTCTTCCCTGATCTCGGGTCTTTCTCCACCGTCGCTGACCTGGCCACGCACCTGCACACGCTCGACGCGAGCTGGCGCGCTGCTTGCACTGAGGCCCAACTTAGTGTGTTTCAGCCCCCTATCTGCTCTACCCTTTACCTGCTTGCCACCCGCCTCCCTGACCACCTTGCTACTGCCCGCGACCACTTTCTGAGTCTGCATCCCGCTGACCTCACCCTCTCGGACTTTGTCGACACCCTGTCTGCCATAGAGACCCGTCAGCGCTCTATCACCCAGTCTAGCAGTATTGCACCGGTCCCTATCTTTCAGGGTTGTGCTCCCGCTCAGTGCACTTACTCTAACGGTTCTGTGGCTGTCGCTGAGATAGCCCCTGCTGCTGAGACCGCTGTCGCGGTGGCCGCAGCGCAGTCCCGTTATGGTAAGGCCCGCCGCCCCAAGGCTGGGCGCGGTGGTGGTCTTGGAGGAGGGGGTGGAGGTGGTGGTGGAGGTGGCTCTTCCGCTTGTGGTAGTACTGACGAGGGGGCTGGGGCTGGTGCCTCGGAGCAGCAGCCCTAGCGGGAGCAGCAGCAGGCGCCACAGCTTGACCAGCTGCAGCAGCAGCAGTCGCAGTGGAGGGTTGGCCGCCTCCCGCCTGGGTGGCCTGGCACCGGTGGTGGTGGTGGTCGTGCGCGTAGCTCGTCGTCGGGTGGTGGTGCGAGTGATGGGCGTTGCCAGTGACCTCGTGTGCGGTAAGATCGGTCATACCCCCACTCACTGTTTCAGTCGCCTGGACGACCTGTTTCGTCACCGCTTCGGCCCCGCGCCGGACCTCTCCGACTGGCACAGTCTGCTACGCCGTTGTGTTAGGATCTCTGATATGGACATGGATGAGATTAGCTCTGCATTGTATGCGATGTATATCGATGACTCTAGTGCGACAGGTTCCTATTACCCCGTGTTGCCTAGTGTAGGTGTGCCCAGTGTGCCTAGTTTAGGCTCCCCTGCTGCGTAGGACGTAGGACCACTTGCTTTGTTTAGCCTTGGCTCCACTCTAGCTCCTCCGCCCCCAGCTGCCACTGCCGCGCTCTCCTTCACTCTCGACTCTGGCGTGTCTCGGTGTTTCTTTCGGTACCACACTACGCTGACGCCGCTTGCCGTCCCTGCCGCTTGCCGTCCCTGCCGCAGTTGCCCTTGCAAACCCTTCCTCAGGTCCGGTAGTCGCCCGTAGTTCCACCACCCTCCCCTGTCCGGCGGTTCCTTCGGGCTCTCTTACAGGCCTGCACATCCCCTCGGCTGCCTTCAGGACCTCGGCGTCACCACTACGTTCCCTAGTTACGAGAGATACGCTGTCTATACCAAGGCCGCCACTAGTGCCCCCCTCACCACGTTCCCCCGGGACCCGGTGTCTGGCCTGTTCACGCTGGACACCCCGCCCCCCTCGGTTGGGACGCCCCCCTAGGTGACAGCGTGTACCCAAGTTGCTGCGGCTTGCTCGTGTCGGTCGCTTACTCACCCGGCGCTTCTGTGGCACCACCACCTAGGTCACCCCGCCCTCACACGTCTCTGTCACATGTCTCAGCACGGTCTTGGGTCTCCCTGCATCGTTCCCTTCGCTTCCCTCCTCGGCAGCGCCGCCGTGCACCCCCTTCATCGAGGGCCGGCTTCGCCGTGCCCCTCACTCCTCCTCCTTCCCCCCCGCATTTGGACGTCTGGGGCCTCGACCCCGTCCATGGGTCGCGACGTGAGCGCTACTTCCTAGTGCTTGTCGATGACTACTCGCGCTACACAACGGTGTTTTCCCTGGAGCAGAAGGCCGACGTGCCTGGCGTTCTTATCCCGCAGCTTGTCTCTGCGCGTGTTCACCGAGGTCTCCCTGTGTTGCGTCTTCACTCCGACCGTGGTGGCAACTTCGCCTCTGGCTGCCTTGGTTGCTTCTGTCGTGTGGAGGGCATCACCCAGTCGTACACCCTGCCGGACTCCCCGCAACAGAATGGGGTCGCTGATCGACGCATTGGTTTGGTCGTAGAGGTGGCTCGTACCTCCATGATCCATGCCGGTGCACCTCATTTTCTGTGTCCTCACCAGCTTAACCTGTGGCCGCACCCTCAGCGGCCGCAGAATATGCCGACCCTACTCTGGACAGAGTCTCCTGGTGACGCGTCTGCGTTCCATGTTTGGGGCTGCCTTGCTCACGTTCGTGCCTCTGGCACGGACAAGCTCACTCCCCGCACTGTCCCCTGTATCTTTCTAGGTTTCCCCCTCGACTCGTCTGACTGGCACTTCTACCACCCGCCGTCTCACCGTTTCTTTCACACCCGCGGCGTCACCTTTGATGAGTCCGTCTCCTTCTACTACCGCTTTCCCCACCGTGGTCCCCCGCTTACCCCCCCTCTGTTCCTGGTTCCCCCTCTCCCGGTCGCCCCTGCTCCCCCCCCTCCCCGCCCTGCCCCGTCTGGTGTGTCTCACGTCATCCCCCTCTCGTCGGTTGTCCCTGCCGAGGTTTTTGCTGACTCTCGTGGCTCGGCGGATTCCCTTCCACCGCCTGTCCCTGCCCTGGTCTCTCCTCCCCTGTCGCCAACATTGCTGTCGCAGCCGCAGATGCCTCCACAGCTGCCGTCGCCGCCGCAGCCTCAGCCGCTGTCCTCACCGCCGCTGGGGTTTGTGCGTTCGGGGGGTGCTGGGGAGAGTGCCGGAGCGGGTACTGGAGTGGGTTCCTGTTTTGGGGGTGCTGACGTGGAGCTTCTCGGAGGGGGCTATGGTGTCGCTGGAGGTTCTGGTGTTGGAGTCGAGCAGCAATCGCCGCAGTCGCCGCCGGTGTCCGCTCTTCGCCTAGTCGGCCTTCCTTCCCCTGACCGCCCGCCGGTGCCTCCTCCTCTGCCGGTCTACGGCCCTGTGTTTTCTCCATCGAACTCTTCTCTGGCTCGTTTCCCTCCTCGTTCTCCTCCTATATCTCCTCCCCTCTCTCCTGACCCGACTCCTCTGTCTCACGTCTGGGCTTGTCGTCCATCTCGTGCTCGTCCTACCTCCCCTGTTCCGTGTTCTCACCCTATGTTGCTTTGCTCCCATGTGTCTCGTGCTCCTCCGCTCCTCCCGTCTCTCCTCCGGCGTCGCTCGCTGTGGCGCCGCCTCTGTTCTCTGACTTCCTCCGTGCCGTGCATCCCCTTGTTCCTCGTGTCATTGCCTCTCTTGTTACCGACCCGTCCGTTCTTGTCTCGAGTCTGTCGGCTCTTGTTGCTTCTGTCACAGACTTCGCCGCTACCCGCCGCCTTGACTACGCCACTGCTTTGGTCTCTGACCCTGCCTGTCCGCCGTCCGTTAGGGGTGTGGCTGCCCTTGGCAGTGACGTCATAGAGGACAGACAGTCCGAGCTTGCTTTCCTGTCAGAGGCCGCTCCCCATCTCTGTTCCTTGCTGCTAGTCCCTGAGGGTGACCCAAGCGCCCTTGACATCCCGACCCCTCGCATTTACGCTGAGGCCACCTCAGGACCTTGGGCCTGTTAATGGATAGCTGCCATGGATCAGGAGATGGCATCTTGGAGATCCACCGGTACCTTCATCGACGTAGTTCCCCCACCTGGAATGAACGTAGTCGATGGCTGATGGCTCTTCAAGG